TTTCTTTTCTTTTCTTCCGCTATTTTCTCCTATGTTAGCCTTTTCCCGGGGTGGGGGGGTACTCTGTGGCTGACAAACTGCTGAAGGAAGTCCCAAGGTTTGTAACAGTGACAAAGGAGGACGGCTGACTGCATAGAAGAGAGAAGCTGAAACCCTGTAGCTGAACGGAACCCCCTACAATTAATGTCTATTGGACTTCCTAGTACATTCCTAGAGATAAGCAAATATGTAACCATGAGCTTCTTGAACAGCTACTTATTTCAATAGTTAGAAACTGAATGTCCATAATTGAAACGCCCGTCAGATGCAGCCAGGGTAGATGAAGCAAGATCGTTGAACTTTTTGCACGTAGGAAAGGAGCACTATTGCCCTCAACCCCAACAGCTAGTAATAGAAATTCAAACTATGGCTGAGCAACGTGTGTTTTCATGTCACAGGGGCCATGAGCTACCATGGCAGCAGCACACGCAGCCGCCAGCCTGCCGCTCCAGAGGGAATGACAGCTTCGGAGCCACCCAGCGGGGACTGAGGGTCCCTCCTGCACAAAGAGACAGTCCTGATCCACCGGGAAACCAATGAGCTGAACCTCAAGTGAAAATTAAAGAGCTCAGGTATCTCCTAGTTTTCTTGAATTCAGACAGGACTTTGAGCGGGGATAGGGAGAAGGAAGGGGGACCAGAATACACCCTTGAGAACAAATTCCATCATGGCATTTTCCTCATCATTATTCATTCCCTGGCAGTCTTTTATCTGTATTATTCTTCCTTATAACTTCAGGTGTTGCAACGAAGTCAAGTATGTATACGAAAAATACTATTTTGCTAATACAGTTTAAGCAAAAGAAGAAACAGACCACTCAGAAGGCCATGCTAATAGCCTTAGCAAAGTTGGAGTAAAGAAGTGGTTAAGGATCTAGATGATTTAATCCAGTTTTAAGAAAAGGTTTTACAGTGAGCAATTAGATGCTGTTTAAGGAATTAATCGCTAATGGGTCATTAACTCTGACTGGTATTGTACAGTTAACAAGCCGAGGCAGGATTATTAGACTCAGCACCCAATTAAGAACAAGAAGATATTTACAACAAAATGAACAAATGGGCTTTTAAAATGGAATGGAACAATTTGAAATAAAGTGTAGGAACATGGAAAAGTAGACAGGCTAGAAGAAAGATGTGTTTACATATGCCTCTGTCTCTTTATTTGCCCACTTACATGTAGCTGGTAAAATATTCATTTTTAGCAATAAACTCACAGTTTTCCTTGAAGGATGCCACTGCACACAGTTGATCCACTTACAAGGGTCACATGTACAAGGTATAAGAAAGATCTATTTCATATGGCAATAAAAGAACAATCACCATAGCTTGCCATAATGTTTCTTTATTTGTTTGCAGGTGCTGGATCAGGACCTTGTTAAAAGTGAGCAGGTGTATCTTCAGCTGCCCTGCCATTGTGGTTTTATCTATGGCCAGTCTTTGACTATCTCAAGTAACCAAGCATCAGCACTGGTGACAACTGATCAGGAAGTCGAGGGCTCCTTTCCAATGGCTTTACAGGATACAGAAGAACTGTAAGTAAAAGAAAGTGAGGGTAGTAATGCCAAAATATGGGAAAGCACTATTGAAATCTTGGGGAGTTGCTTATTAACCACTAGCAATAAGCACAGTGGAGAACTTTAGGGCAGCAATTTAATGTGCTCACCTGCAGGAGCGTTTTCAGCTTCAGAGCCACAGCTGGACTGCAGCCAAGTAATGACAAGTGAAATTGTTCCTACCCTGAGAAAGAAGAGTGTGCAGAACTTATGCAGTCACTCATTAGTGTGTGTGTCTTGCTGACACAAGCCAGGCTATGCAAGTACTTCTCAAGCACACCAAGAGAAATCCTTCTCTTGCAGCCACCAGAAAAGCCATGCCTTCTTGCAACTCCAGCATCACTGGTGATGCAAGCAAAGCTCACCTGTGAGAGGACCACTAGAATAAGACCTAAAAACGGAAGCAATATGATTTTTGTCCTCCCCTTTTACTCAGGTGTCCTTACTATAAGTTAGCAAAATATTTCCCTGGTCCTGACAGCAATGGCAGTTATTTTCCTGGCAGCATTTCCTCTCTCTGCCAAGGAAGCAGAGAGATGTGTGCTGGGAAGAGTGGGCACCACCACAAATGCACGCACTGTAGAACTGTCAAGTCCAGCAGGACAGTCTCCCCAGGCAGAGCTTCATTCCTCCCAAATTCAGGGGGAACCACTCACTTGGCTTCCCTGCATACCCTGGACCAGCACAGCTCAGGGAAGGGAAGCTGGGGGTCCTGAACACACTGTGTGCTCTGGTCCAGAGAGGCAGGTTGGTTCTGCAGGGAGGCTAGGGCAGAGCAAAAGACGTTTGAAAACAAGAGGGATTCTTATTATTATCTGTAAGAGAAGCTCTCCATACAATAGATGGGGGCTGCTGTGGAGAAGGCTATGAAGGGATGTTTAGAAACCGCTATCTAAGGTTAAAAAGCTCTCTGAAGTGAAGCTGAACAAAGCTGACATACTTGTTTCTGACAGGACTCTTAAAAGATACGCACAGATTGTGAAAATATAATTAGACGCCAGCCTTTGTCTGGCCACAACGAGTGGGAAATGGTGAAAGGAGAGGTCTCCCAGTCTGCATTGAATCATCCCCAGGACACAATGAGGGCACTTGTGCATCCTTCTCTCTTCCCTAATGAGAAACATTAATTGCCACAACCTCCCGAGTGTGTAGAGCACCCCATGCCCAGCAGAAGAGAAGGGGAGTTTCATTACAGCTTCTCAGCCCCATTACAGGCAGTAACAGAGATAATGAAAAATAAAGATGCCGCAGTTTTATTTTGGCAGCCTGGCCATGGGCGCTGGGTGGGCAGGGGAGCGGGCATGGCCCAGCTCTGTGCCAGCCTCCAGGGGCTGTTCTCAGCAGAGAGGGCAGGATGAGCCTTCTAGGCCCCAGACGGGTGCCAGTGCCCAGCCAGAGACTGTCTGTCTCTCCCTGTGGGCAGCTGGGCTGCAAGGGGCAGGAGCCCTGGGGGTCCTGCCATTCCCCTTGTCTGCAGAGGCAGCAAGGACTGTCACTGACTCCAGCCTGCAAAGCCTACCTGAACCTGGCACTGCTGCACAAGGGAAGTTGTAGGAGTGGTGTGCCTCGCCCAAGGACTGCCAGGGCTCCAGCCTCTCTGTGCCCACTCCCATCTAGGCACATTCTCCTTCATGGGGCAGCAGCCCCCAGTGCCTCAGCCAGCTTGGGCAGGGTTCTGCTGATGGAGGAGGACAGAGAAGAGCCCACAGCCAGGCATCTCCCACCCCTCTGTGCATCACACGGAGAGGAGGGTCCAGCCCAAGATGCCCATTTGGGTTCAGAAACATGATGCACAGTCTCTATGCAGATGGTGCCATTTAATGGTGCAAAAGCAGAACCCCCTCCCCAGGTACAGCAGTCCTGGGCTCCCAGCCTTACATAGCTCTTTGCCCTACTGTAGCTTTTATTGCAACTAAAGCATCCAGCGAAGGAGGGAGAGCAAAAGAGATTGTTTTTCCTAAGCTATGATCAGGCCCCTAACTCTTCAGGGGCTGTGGAAAAGGGAATTAAAAGGACCACAAAATACAAAAGCAATTCAAGGCGTAAGGGAAAGGCTGGTGCAAGGGGCAGCCCTCCTGTGTCTGGCCATCCGCCGCAGTCAAGGCAGGGCAAGGGTGTCCCTCGGGCGTTCTGAGATGCGCCTTCCCCATGGCTTACTCCCAGGTGCTGAGAGGGAGTTCAGATTGTCTGCCAGGGTTTGCCGATGGACTGAATGTGCTCCTTGGCCTTCAGCCGCAGGGCGGCAATGCTGGTGTTGCGTGGATCTGCCTCATCCAAAGGGAACTTGTCCACAAAGGTGGCCCCACACTGATAAGGCGGCGGTGGCCCCATGGTCCCCAGGGGCTGCAGTGCGTGGGTCACTGCTGGAGAGTTCAGAAAGGGCGGTGGCGTGTAGCTGCCGGGCAGGCTCTGCGGCGAGGCCACGAAGCCAGGCAGGGTCTGCAGAGCTGTGCTGCTGGGCACCGGCGGGCTGAGCCATGTCTCCAGGGGCAGGCTGCTGCTCAGAGGACCCATGGGTGTTGCCTGCGGCGAGCGGTTGAACGAGAGGATGGGCGAGTCCTGCAGCTTCATGGAGGTCACCTCCAGTTTCTCTTGCCGCCTCCACTTAGCCCTTCTGTTCTGAAACCAAACCTGCAAGCAGAGCTGTATCAGCCAGGCCCGAGGTACTGGACAGAGGCTTGCTCCTGGCTGCAGCAGTGCGCACAAAACAAAATGAAGAAAATACGCCTTGCCGAACTGGGGCAGAAGGGAATTTGGGGCGCTCGCCCGTTCCTCCACGACCCACAGCCCTGCGCTTGATGGATAACAGTCCCGCAGCGGAGCTGGCCCGCCCATCCACCCACCACTGCCCTGGCACACAGCGGGTTCAGCAGCCCCGGACTGGGACACGCCACCCAAAGGATAGCAGCACCGACGACGCGGCTGCCGGACGCAGGTCTGTCTCGAGCCCCGCGCTGTCCCACCGGCCTGGCCGGCCCGCGGTTGTGCGGCAGCCGCGCCCAGCGCTCCCGTGGGGAGGGAGGCCCGAGTGTGGCCGGAGCTGTGCTGCGGTCACGGGCCCGCGCTCCGCTTCGGGGCTGCTCCGGCCGCCGGGACCACAGGGCTGCGCCGAAGCGCGTCGGACCGGGCCGTGTGTGGCTTCCCGGCGCGGGGGCCGTCAAGGCCCGGCCGTCGCGGGGAGCAGGGTCAGGCGTTACCTGGACGCGAACTTCGGGTAGATTGACCTTCATGGCCAGCTCCTCGCGGCTGTACACGTCGGGGTAGTGGGACTTCTCAAAGGCACGCTCCAACTCGTGAAGCTGGTACGTGGTGAAGGTGGTGCGGTTTCGCCGGTGTTTCTTCTTGGGCTGTTCCTCTTCCGACGGCTTCCCCTCGCCGCTGCTGCCAGCGGGCAGCTCGGGGCTGGTGCTGCCGGGACAGTACGGCTCTGCGAGGGGAAGACAGGGGGGGTCATCGGCGGGATCTCCCAGCGGGGCTTTCCCGAGGGCGTGGGGGAGCGGCGCCCACCCGTCCGCCCCCCGGCACCCGGCGTTCGTCCACAGCGCTCACCTTGGAAGCGCTCGGCGCGGCTCTGGGGCTCGGCCGTCGGCGGCTCTCCGGGCATCTTGGGCAGGCAATGCCGGGTCCCTCGCCGGTCCGCCTCTTTGGCGCTGCCGTCGGGAGGGAAGGCGCCCAGCAGCCCGTCTTCCTTGGTGAACCCCAGGATAGCCTCGATACTGTGAAGCCTCGACGGGTTTCCCCCGGGGCTCCGCGCCGCCGGGGCGGCCAGCGAAAAGGCGCCCTCGGCCATGGCGAGCGGGGCGCCGGGCGGGTGCATGAGGCGGCCGGCCCGGGGCTCCGCCGCGGCGCTGCGGGCTTAACCCGGCCTCCGGGCGGCGCGGGCAAGTCTGGCACGGAGTCGCAGGGCGGGCTGGCCTCCTTGGGGCGGGGGAGGAGTGCCGGGGGGCGGTAGGCGAGAGGGAAGGAGAGGCCCCCGCGCCTCTTCGGCACGGACGGGGAGGGAGGGCATCCCCTGGCCCCCGCCGGCCGCCCCGCCCCTCCCCGCCGGCCCTGGCCCCAACCTCAGACGGCGCCGGGCGATGCCATCCGGGGCCCCCGAGGCGGGGTGGGGCGGCCCCCGCTGAAGCCGGGGGCTGGTCTGGGCCGAGTGCCGCGGTCGGAGCCCCGGGGCAGGGGCAGCACTGTCGGAAACCGCGGTGGGACAGGCGGAGAGAGGCGCGCCGGGCACGAGGGGACAGAACCGGGACGGCGGGAGCCGCGGGAGCCGCTGCTGGGGGCGCGGTAAAGGCGCCTCAGCGAACGGGACGGGCAGGGGCGAGAGTCCGGGAGTGCCGGACCGGAGGACAGCAGGTCCCTGGCACGGCCCCGCGCTGTTCGGCGGCTCTCGGGGCCTCGCTGCTTTTCTCTTGCCCGACGGCTGCAGCCGAGATAGCTCTCGGACGGTTTGTAGGTGCGTCTGTTTGCCGGTGGCCGCTCGAAAGCTGCCCCGCGGGACGATCCGCGGCCCCAGCCCGACTCGGGGGCACCGGGTAAACGCCGCTGCGCTGGTGCTCTGTGGGACACTCGCCCTGCGCCCGATTACCCCAAAGGCATTTCACTGACCGGGTGCTCCTGGGCAGGATAGACGCAGGAGGTGGGTTCAGCCTTTCAGACTTCACAAACCCAAGGAAGCTGTAACCAATATTTGCGAGGAAGTTTCCAGCATGTTGCTGTAGGACAAAGCCTGTGAGAAGAGCTGCTTTTGTGACCCTGTACTCCACAGTACCAGTGGGGCTGGTGGGGCGGTAGCAGGCAGGGCATGGCTTCATGGGAGATGCACAAAATATTTTTGGAGGTGAGGCAGCGAGCCAAATTCCACACACCAATTTTTACTGGGTTTGGTGGAAAATTGGACCCTTCACAGGATCGACCATGTAACAGCATCACGTCTCCTGCATCGATCTTTTTCCTGGTTTTGTCTTTCTGTCATTTTATTACTCTGCACACTAGTACTTCCCAGTTCCTCTGAGGCACCAGCTACCTTTTGTCCCAGCCTGTTTACATGACAAACCCAGTAACATCCAGAGTGGCTTTCAGTCTACACTTAGCTTTGAGGATGCTTCTATTTGAAGCCTGAGGAGAGTGTATGTGAAAGGAAAACATTGCAGTTGCTGCTTGTTCTTCCAGATGTATTAGCTAGTCTAATAACTATGTCCTCTCTCAATAAATCTGCCCCGACAGACTCCATATCATGTAGATTTTTTCAGAGGAATCATTTCAAAGATTGGCAGTGCTTGCTTCTGCCGGTGTCTATACCTTTTTCAGGTTTATGCTCTGATGTCCCCAAATTGATTTCTTGTAGGACTGCACGACTTTTCCTAGCTCCAGGTGAGGTTTGCCTTCACTGACTGCTTGGGGGGTGGTTTGAGGCCGAAAGAACTCAGACGTCCATTTGCACAGAGGGAAGAAGCCAACAGAAGAGAAAAGAAAAGGTTAGTGTGGCTTTTGTGGAGGCTATAAAAAGCCAGTCAATACCATTGTAGGGACATTGGAGGGTACTCAAAGCAATCAGCCAGGGGCCATTGTATTCCTTTAATCTACATGTGTGTTTCGCAGGAACTCTATTAGTGAAGATGAATGGACAGTGCAATGTCCCTAATTTCTTCTAATTTGAAGCTGGGGGTTTACAGCACTCAAAACCAGCACAAAACACACCTGTCCCTCCAGAAGTCCTGGGCAAAAAGGGGAATCAGTTTTTCTTGTTGTAGATAAGAAAGATAGGAATGTGAGATGAAGGAACAAAAACCCTTTAGCCAGTGCCATAAAGGGCATTGGATCCTGGCAGAGATGCTGCTTTTGAGGTACCTGTCAAAGTTGTCAGTTACAGGGTCAATACTCGATTTTTTTGCTGTTAATCACAATATGAAGGCAGCAAAAAAGCCTTCCAGCTCTGAGGTAGGGTGCTTGTGTCCCACACAGGACACAAGAGACCTTCCTGCCAGAGAAGCCTCGTCTTTCTTCGGCAGTAGAGTACTCCACTTGTATTTTCCATATGGAGCTAGTTTGTCACTGCAGCACCCTTCTTGCAAGCAAGTGGAATTGTTGAAAGCGGAAACCACTCCCTTGATCCCAATTTGAAGAAAAAAATCTGGAAAAAAACCCATAACCCTGGAGCAGAGCAGAGAGAGCTTTGATTCTTCCAGCTCTACACCTCTCATTTCTCTCTTGCCATACTTCAGGCACAGACTGTGTGACATGCATGAGGCATCACAGTGCTTCAGGAAGGGAAGAAGTTTAATGGTTCCTCTGATTACACAGAAGGTTTGGATAGGCAAAGAACGGTAAGGGAACATTTCCCTTTGGGTCTGATGTCCTGGCTGTCAGTTGAATCTCTTGCAGCCCTCTAGGATATGTATCATATTAGTATGAAGCCTCAGAAACTGATCCTGTGGTACAGCTTTGCAAAGACCATTGACCTTTGGAAACTTATGAGGGAAACCAGAATCGAATTTGAGAGCATTCATTAGGGGATGAAACAGGCAGGGTTTGTTACTTGCCTTTCCAAGGGATACCCCTATTCCATCACCTTTTTTATTCTTTTGCAATGCGCTATTAAAATTTCTGCAGAAGTTATGTTTGTAAAGTAACAAAAGTTCTCACGATGGACAGTCTGTAAAGTGCTGTCTGCTGTACCTCCTTCCTATACATGTATAGTGAAGACTAAAGGGAAATCGTTTTCATCCTGTAGTCGCTGTTGAGACATCGCAGGGGACATGGTTTCACACAATGAAATCAACATCATAAAATGCCACAGGTTCCTCCTTCCTTTTCTCCTGCCTTTTCTTTATGTCCAAGTGAAATAATTACTGCCTTGCAGAGCAGAGATTTGAAGCTGAAGTCATGCTGCAGGAGAGACATCACTCTCCAGAACAAAGATGTGCAGCAGGGAGGACCTCCCTGAAAGATAAAGGGGGCTTCCAAGGTCAGACTGCAAATCAACAGGAGTGAAGCAAGGAAAAGGAAGAAATATTCACCTGGAGGGAACCTGCAGCATCCTGAAGTTTGCATGCTCTATATCATCCAGTAGATTGTTAAAAACAACCAAAAAAGGCACTTTTTTTCCTCCCCAAAAATTCCTACGGGTGCAGTTTCAGAACCTTGAAAGCACAACTCATGAGGGAGCTGCTGCCTCCTCCTGTCACTGCATTGCTCACATTGCTTCTTTGTTTTTCTACTGAGACTTTGCTTGATCTGCCCAGGAGAATCAGCTGTGTTTTCTCCACTTCCCAGGGTCCTGTCTGGCACCCAGGAATTGCACAGAGGTCTTGCTGTCCTGCTGTCTGTGCAGGCTGTGGGGATGGAATAGGCTCTGGGAGCCAGGCAGCCCTTTCTGGTGGGACCACCACGGGTTGGGTGCGAGGGCAGTGGCATTTAAGCTTGCCATGCTTAGAGGGAGAGAGGGGAGGTTCATGCCCTAAGGCTATATTAATGCAATCCTTCTTGTTTTCCAATTAGCCTAATTGAATTCGGATTGCTTAAAAGTGGGCACTAGAGACATTTATCTTGATGGGATGATGGTCTTGAGCTCCAGCGATCCTATTAACTCTAAGAACCCAAATCCCAGGTAGAGTCCATCCAGCAGTGGCTGCCGCGTGACCTAACCCTTTAATCTGCCCCTGACAAAGACACACGGACACACAGACATTTCCCTGTCCATCCTCACACGTGCATAGCTGCATGCACACACATACATGTGCATTTGTGCAGAGATACGGACACAAACATCCCCAGACACACATCCCAGCACACGTGCACGGGCACACACATGCAGTGGCTCCTCTGTGACCTACCACCAGGGCTAAGCACCTTGAGAGCCGCATGTACCTGGCACGGCCCCACCACCTCCTCCTCATGTGCCTCCCCAGGCTTGTGGCTGGTGGCTGAAGATGGGAAAAGCCGGTGCTGGAGGGATGAGCCCTGCAGGTGCTGCCAGGAGCAGGCAGCCACCTCCAGCAAACTGATCAGGCTCCTGCTGAGGGCAGCACAGATTTGCCACCCTGCCCTGGCTCTGCCAATCCCGACTGAATGTGGGTGCCTAAGACAGCTCACTGCCTGGCCAGCAGCATTTCAATGGGGCTGGGCTCCCATCCTGTGCCAGTCCCAAGCCACCTCTCAGTCCTGCTTGTCTCTGCCAGCCCTGACATTTTTTTGGAATCTCATTAATCATTTGTTTGGTGATTCTGACTTTCTTCTTTGACCCTTTAAACTGTGAAAATGCTGATCCTATATCTGCTGACAAATTTAATTAGATCCTTTAAAGCACCAGATGCTTTCAGTAAGATTTTCGGGATGTCCCAGGCTCCTTTTAATTCAAAGGTCAAAACCCTTAGGCTTGTTTATTTTGGTGTTTTATAGATAGGACAATTCAGTCTGTAAAGAAACAGCAGCGTGCATACACCACCTATATTTCTGCAAGTGCACAGGGAAATTAACTGAGCCTCACAAACCTCAGACTGGTTGAGCTGAGCTGGTGACTATTTTATCTACTTGATGTAAAGACCTCCTAAAAGACCCCACTTGTCTTTCCACATAAATAATTAGATACTGTGGTGCCATGTGAGACCAGAATTCCAAAAGGAATAAATCAGATCAGAAGTCTTGGTGGGTTTAGGCAAAATAGCTCTGATGCTTGAGGCACCTGCTGAAGGTAGGTTTTCTTCTTCACTAAGGAAATTACCTGTTGGATGAGAGACATTTAATGCACTAGGACATCCTCTGGAAAAAGCAAGGATCCTCAGAACTTGTCGACTTGGGTTTCTTAGGTAAGAAAGAGATGAGCAACAAGAAAATGCTTATTTGCTTAATGCTACAATGGAGAAAATATTGGATAATAGGTTTTCAAGCAAGTCTGTTCAGTTTATATTTGAAGAGTGATCGATGAAAGAACTTTCTCAAGCTCTATTTGTAGAAAGGAATCTCAGCTTCCTTTTACTGTTAGCAAACTGGCTGTGTTCAGGGAAAGTAGAAACTACCTGTGAGAACATTTAACATATGGTTGGGAAGAGCTGGAAAGTGCTTGTGTGCTCAGCAGAAACATTTGGGGAAAACTGGCAATCAGCCTGAAATGCGACAAAGGATTCTAGTCAAAAATAGGTTAAAAGACATACAAATAAATGTATTTGTCAAATAAATGTAATTTGCCTTAATCAAACATGATCCATATGTGATTAACACACAAAGCTGTCTGCTGCCCTCTCTGGTTTTTTTGCCGATGAAACACTGCAGGCACAACACAGCCCACAGCCTTCCTGGGCTGCTGCGTCTGTCTGCCCCTTGTCACTGTCCCCGTGGAGCTGTGGGTGACTGCTGACTCCTCCACTTTACCTGTGGAACCTGTGTTATCCAGACTTTTCCTCTCCCTGCTGGTGGTGGTACCTTCCAGGATCCACGGGATGACCTAACTTCTCTCCACAAAGCCCTGTAATTCCCTGGGGCTTGGCAGAGCCCCCACTGCTCTGTGGGGCTGAAGGACCTTACCCAAAGCAGGCAAAGGGGGCTCAGCACAGAATGGTCTCCACACCTGGAGTGTGCTGTGGTTGTATCTTGTGCACTTTACAAACCAATACCTGAGGCCAAGATCAAGGGAGAGGAGAGGAGAGGAGAGGAGAGGAGAGGAGAGGAGA